ATAACATTCAAATTTATTCAACAAAAATTAAATTTTATCAAATTAATAATAAATTAATATTTACTTTTATTAAATTAACACTAAATTAATATTAATTTTATCAAGTTAAGACCAAAATTTTTAATTAACATTAAATTTTATCAAATAATATTTAAATTTGATATTTAAAGGATGATGTGTGAAGGGTGGTAGCATTATATATATATATATATATATATAAAGACTCTTAATATATCAAACAGTATAAAGTTTGGGAGGTAAATTGGTAAAATGAGTATTTTCACACACAAAAGGTGTCAGTGAAATTTCAAAATAAAAAACAGGTGTCATTAAAATTAGATTTATCTATTGGGGGTATGTATGAATTTTACCCTAATTTGAATAATTCAAGGCATATGGATGATGCCAGGTCTGTAGCTGTACTTTGGCTGTCATAATTAAAATTTGGCCTTAGTCTACATTAAACAAAATTTTCCATGCAAATGGGTGGGTTTCACATATATATATATAGTCGGCAAGCATGTAAACATTGTATTACTGGACAGTTTAATGGGGACAAAGCTGTATCTACCATGTGAGACACTTTGTCAGCAGATAGCATGTACCATCCAAATCAATGCCCCCACTTATGGTATATATATATATATATATATATCCTATATATAAGTTTGCTTTGTTATACTTAAACTTAGAAATTAACGATGTTACTTGGCTACATGTGTCTAAAATATTACTCTTTTAGTTTTTTTTTTTGATGAAATAAAATATTAAATTAATATAACTAAATGCAAATTTTATAAAATTAAATATCTGTTGATTTGATGAGATGAGATGAAATATTAATTTAATTTTAATTAAATAAATGACATTAATTTGATAAAATTAAATATTAAATTGATGAATCTAAAAGTTAATATAATAGAACTAAAAGAGAGTGCATTGATATTTTAGAATTGGAATGTGATATTGTTAAAGATAGGTTTATTTATAAGAGTGTCGTTGGAATTATGTTTATTTACAAGAGTGTGAATAAAATTTATCTTATAAAATATTCAATGATATTTGTATAAATTAACAATTGTCGTTAATACTGTAAGTGGAAAAACATTGATAAAATTTCAGAATCAAAAAACGTCTGATCGAATTTAGAGGGAAAATTATAATGACGGCTGTCCTGCTGTAAAAATCCATTCCACAGGTTTCTAGTTACTCAAGAAAGTTGTAGCTTTGAGAGCATCTCCAATAATAAAATCTATTTTAGTTACTAAAAAAGTAATATTTTTTATTTTAACTATTCATTTTTTTAATTCACGCTCTGACAATTTTTTTATATTTTTAACTCCTCATTTTAAATATTATTTCTCATTTCTTTTGTATTATTTTTTTTAGGAATAGTAAAAAGGAGAAAGAAAGATAATGGAAAAAAGAAAAGGAAGAAAGAGAAAATATTATAAACAAATTTTACATATTGTTACAGTGATACTCTAAATAAAATCTATTTTAGAGTATCTGAACATATTCTATTGGAATATGATTTTTTGCTTTGATTAACTAAATTTTAGCTATTTTTGTGCTTTACAGCATCTCTCGGAAATGCTCTAAGTAACTGTGACATGTTTGTCAAAGAGGCCAAAACGAGCTATAAATTTAATGTTTTAAATTTTAATTTTAATTTTGATAATTTTTTAAGGTTGAATTATTAAAAATTTTAGCATGAATAATCTGTTTTTGATCAGATTAAGGAGAGAATTAATCGAGGTGCACGTAAACTAACTCCAATACTCATGACCGTTGAACAAAAAAAAAAAAAAGAAGGACGGCCCATGAATAAGTCCAAAGTTATTACAAGATTTGGAAAGAATTAGTTGTGCCTAGTTTTTATTTGTGATTATAATACCTAAATTACAATAAGATGATCAGATGTCATAATTTAGAGGAAGTTGGAGACCGATCTTTGGGTCCAATAAGATTTCAAAAAAAAAAACTCAGTCACTAATTTTCTTTTGAATTAAATTCTTATTGAAAAGTTAAAGTAACGGATAAAACTATCGTTCTTTACAATTGTAGAAAATAACTATAATGTCATTATCTAATTTATACACTTATTCTAAAAAATTACATCATCATAATATACATTTTTATTTCTACAACCACAAATCGTAAGACATGTACACTTAAAAAAAATGTAAGCAATTATATATATATATATATTCAAGCCAAAAAATAAAAGGCATGTAATAAAAAAAATAAAAAATAATAGATACATTATAAAAAAATAACAAGTATGCAAGATATGAACATTAAAACACAAATCGTTAGATAAGTACACTAAAACAAATATCGTTAATGTACTTTATTATTTATAAACACAGATCGTTAGACAAGTACACTAAAACACAGATCGTTAATATATTTTTTTCTCCATAAATACTGATCGTTAGACAAATACACTAAAAACACAAATCATCAAACATGTACACTAAAATGCAGATTGTTAATCTACTTTTTTTCTTTCATCAACACAGATCGTTAGATAGATACACTGCAACATAAATCATCAGGCAAGTATACTAAAATACAAATCGTCAGATATTATCATAATGTCCAAATAGTTTGGTTCACCAGTTTGAATTTCAAAACTAATAAACAATACCGTAAAATCCTCAAAAAATAAAAAAACTAACTATATTTTAGGATAAAATCATGTGATGTGGGCAAAAATGAGTAATAAAAATCAGTAACTAACCAATTCTTAAACATTTCTACTCACACAGGAACGCAATCAATTTTTTTAAAAAAATGGAAGGTCTTTTTTTTATACAAAAAAATCGATTGTACTAAAATTAGTTTACACACAAAAAAGTGACTCTACCCTAATTTACTACATAATTTACCTGAATTATATAATCGAGTAATTACTTGTGTTATTGGTATACTCCTAGTTTTGTTGGCTATTTATATTTCTAAAATAAGCTACTACATACGGTTGCTAAATGATTTTATTTTGGGTTGTTTATGTTTATTTTTGTATTGCTTAATGAGTCAATCACAACTAAATTATTAAGCTCGTTTAATATTCAAATTGAACCCAAATAATATGTCAATTTTCTCCATAAAGTCGAACTTAAATTTGATTCATTTGTCTTAGTCAAGTCTGAATTTGATAATAAATTCGACTTTTAAAAAGAGCTCCAACTCAACACTATGAGATTGGACAAATGAAAATCAAGTCGAGTCTCGGTCCTAATATATAGAAAGTTAAAATATTATGTTCCTTTAATCGCTTTATTTTAATTTAAAATAATAGTAATAATAATAATAATAACACATGTAAGCCAATAGATGTTGTTTTTTAATCACCCTAAGCCTATACATTGCTACCCTTTTTTTTTTTCTTTGACAACCGTAAATGTAAAATTAAATCCTTAAATTTTATCTGTTATTGAATTTTTTGGGGGGATAAATTGCATGTGCGCTGATGCTTTGGATCTAAGCACATGATACACAATACCTCAGGTGGTGTTTGTTTGGCAGGATTAGTGGAGGATTGGATTAAAATTGTTTTGGGGTCCACATATCCCAGCTTTAGATATAAAAAATTTCATGGGATAATCGTTGGACTTATTCTCCTCGGTCCGTAATAAATGACCTTAAATATTCACTCTGAACTGGATGTGTGGGATACTTTATTTGCCAACAGGATTTAAGAATAATTTACCATACTACCCCTCAACAGTTTTTTCACCAAGCAATTCAGCAGTCAGCTGCCATTGTGACCGGTATGTTCTCTCTCTCGCCGCTTTGAACATTTCAATAGATTAATTGTTTTTTACCCCTTTTTTGTTATGTCTTTCTCTCTCCTTTGTTTTTCTCCCTCTCTCCATCTCTCTTTCTTTGTGGACTGGAGCTACACCCACCATCTTCGATTTTATTTTTTTTGGCTCTCTCTCTCCTTCCTTATCCCTTTCCCCCACACTGTGAACTTTCCAACAGAATAGTTTTTTTTGCCATTTTTCTGTTTTGTCTCTCTCTCTCTTTTTCTTTTCTTATTTCTTTTCATCTCTCTTTCTCCATCAATGGGAGCTACACTCACCATCTTCGATTTTATTTTTTTGGTTCTCTCTCTCTCTCTCTGTCGATGGGAGCTACACCCACCATCTTCGGTGTTATTTTTGGCTCTCTCTCTTCCCTTTCCTTTTCCTCGTTGAAATTCCTCTTTTTTTTGTTCTGTCTATCTCTTATTTTTTTTCTGTTTTGTCTTTGTTTACTAAATTTGTTATAATATTTTGACAAGATCAAATATATTTGTGATTAATTTTTTTGAATTTTTTTAGAGTCAAACACAAAAAAAAACTAGATGTTTGCATACGAAATATGGTCATATATTGGTGTATTGGAGCATGAACCAAGATGTTATAGTTTGTGTATTTTTTGTACAAGGTAACGGCAGGTTAAAGTTAATATTAATGTAATTTCGGCTATTGCATTTATTTGTCAATATCTTTTGTTAATTAATTTCAATATAATATTTTGGGTGAATCAAATAAATTTGTGATCAAATTTTTAAAATTTTCTTATAATAGAACGCAAAAAACTTTATTTTTTACAATAACTAACTAATTATAAATTTTAAATTCAATATTAAAGTGATAATTAAGAATTGTTAAGCCAATGAGATAGATTTGAATAGGATTCAAGAGTAAGATAATAAATTAATATCAAAGTTATGAGATTTGATCTAAAAAAAAATAGATTTATCCATGGGGCCCACAATAAGCATAAATTTACATCCAAATCAAGGATTAGATAAAATTAATTTTTTTTTTTATAGAACATTGTAATCGGTTTATTGGAATTTCATTGGACACGATTAGAATTTAAATTCAAAAGAGCCCAATCCACCGTGTCATTGCCAAACACCCCCCTTAATGAATAAACAGAATGACTGTACGGATATGTACAATAATAAATCACAAAGAAAAAAAAACAACAGGTGGAAACAAAAATAAACGACAGGTGGAAATTAGGAGAGAGAGAATATGTAAGATTTGACAGTCACGCTCCGAAGCCCACCTCCTGTCTCTCTCTCCAAAACAGAAGTCAGGGAGGTCCGGGATTTCTCTCTCTTCCGGAGATTCGATTTCATCGCCGATCTTTTCTACTCCTTCAATCTCTGTCTTCTCTATCTCCCTCAGAGGAATAATGTTCCAGATTTTCAAGGTACGAGAACTATATATCTCTCTCTCTATATATATCTGAATAAAATAAAAAGTTATTCACATTTTTTGTCTTTGTTTTCGCTCTCCAAGTTTTATGAGTTCCCAAGTTTGTAGGTGGGTTAATCTTTCATCAACTAAAACTTCGATATTGTCGAGTTCTTGTACTTATTTCAATCATTATAGCTACTGTAGAAACAGTGTACACACACATACATATATGTAGCTTTGCTTATTTTTGTAGAATTCCGTAGATAGCTATAATTTATATGGCTCTTGATTTTGATTTCATTGTTTTTTTTTTTTTGGTGTTCTTTAATGTGTCATAATTTATTGAATTTTTTTAGTTCGTTCTTTTTTTCCATTTAAGGAATTGTTGCTTCTGCAACTGCAAACTTTTGTACTTTTGAACATTTGAATTCCCAATTTCATCCTTTTTTTCTGCATCTCCAGAATTTCAAGCAACTTCCATTTTGATATTGAAAGGGGGGTTTTCTTGTGCATATCTTATTTTAAAGATTTTTGGAGCCCATCATCTTTTATACATTATGTTGAATTCTTGAGAATACTGGTTTATGTTTAATGATACCCATATGAGTTCTGGCTATATCTTCTCTGCATCATTGACTGCTCTTTTTGGTTTTGAGATTCTTCTTTTGAAGCTCTGAGTTCTTAGCTTTTAGGTATGTTTATGTAGTTTTGAGTACATATTAAAAAGTTTCCCTTTTATGGAAATGGGATCTGCTTTTTACATCTCATCATACCCCAAAAAATAATACTAATAACCGCAGCAATAATAACTCTAGTACTAATTATCATAGAAATGATAATAATAATAATAATGAAAAAAAATGTGAATGTTTCCTACATGATCCCTCTGTGAAAATAAGAACCCATGGAGGTCATAGTTTTTGGTTCAGACTTTGTCCCTTATTCCCAAATTGCCTTAAACAATTCCAAACCTTATCATGTTTTGTCTGGGTTTTTTGCAATATAAAAGCAAGTACGGGTTAGAAGCTATAATGTTGAATATCCTTAAGACTTATATAAAATTCAACAGCATATTGCCTCTTCTTCTTGTCTTTCTCATGATCTTCATCTTTGTATTTTCTTCCTGGGTTCTCTGTTGCAGGGACTGCTCTTGATTTAATTGAAGTTCACTGACTCAGAAATGGAGGGGGATACATTTTCAGGTCTTGGTAATGGTACCCAGTTAGACAGCAAGGTGTTGCAGACATTTCAAAAGAATTTTGTTCAAGTTCAGAACATATTGGATCAAAATAGGCTGTTAATCAATGAGATTAATCAGAACCACGAGTCCAAGATCCCTGACAACCTGAGCAGGAATGTGGGTCTGATCAGAGAGCTTAACAACAATATAAGAAGGGTTGTTGATCTCTATGCTGATCTTTCAAGTTCTTTCACAAAGTCTGTGGAAGCTTCATCTGAAGGGGACTCAAGTGGTGCTTTGAAGTCAGATGGCAAAGCCGGTCACAAGAGGAATAGGCCTTGTTAGAGAGGAAGCTCAGTTCTTAATTCTTTCATGTTGGAAACAAGATAATGCTCTCTTTCCTTGAGGGGGTAGAACATTAGTACAATGTGTAAGTTGTAACACTCTCTACCAGTGAAATCTCTGAGTGTTTCACTTACTTCTCTTCAACATTTCTTCAGAAAAATAATTGCTTCAATCTGTCACATTGTAACTTTGTACTTGTGGATCTAATTGAAATCAAAGTTTGTTTGTATCATCTACTCTTATTTTATTTCTCTTCTGATGATGGGATACAAAATTTTCATTAATTGATAGATCATAGTCCCGATCAAAAAAGAAAAAAAAGATAGATCATAGTGAGCTGATCTGTTTTCCATAAAAATTTTTGGATTGACTGATACTTATAAAAGGTGACTTATGAGCTGGTAACTTCTCCTATTTTTTCTGTTAGTACTGGTGTTTACAGATTTTCTGTATCATTTTAATGGAGTTTCTTCATCAACCAGAGCTTTTTGTCTTCTGGACATTAACCAAGAACTGAAGTCAAGTGGTGCTGTTGTGGCAGATACTGTTTTAAGTCCTCTCCCATGAAATCAAAACACTTTCTCTTTCACTCTGTCTCCTTGGAATTACTGTGCATGATTTGTATGTGGAGAACTGACCAAACATGCTTACATCTCTGCAAAGATGCTCTGAAACAATTGGGGGGAGAAAGCAGCTTTTAGATTATCTTTTCAGTTCCCACTTCCCAGTCACACACCACCACAAGAACAGAATCTCAGATAAGAGATGATGGGCTTTTGACCTATTTTTTCTTTATTCATGTTTTTTTTTTAATTTTTTCTTTATTTAAATTTTTTGTTTGTTCTATCCAATGACAAAATCTTGGATGGTATTGACGGGGAAAGAAATAAATAAATAATTCAACTGGGGAATGAAAAGTGGGGCTTGGGTAGTTGAAAACATAGCACTACAGTTTCAAGAGACAGACAGATATATGTGTAAACAGTTACCCAACAACATGACAAGGGACCCAAAGGTTCTCCTCTGGGATGGAACTGGACTTCTACATGCTTATCCCTTCTATCTTCTTAGGTTCTTTCCCTTCACTGTTCATACAATTTCCTTCCTTTTAGTCTCTGTTTGCAATAAATGTCCTTTTATGAGTGGCTTCCATTCTCTCTCTCTCTCTCTCTCTCTCTCTCTCTCTCTCACACACACACACACACACATTGATTGAGCAGGTGACTTTGTTTGTGGACCCAGTAAATGGCATCCTAATTTCCTGATCTTAGGAGAGAAAGGCCCACATAGATGATGGCTGGACATGGTTTGTTTCTAGTGTGGATTTTAAAATCATAAGGGAAAATGTTGTGGGTGTCACTTTTCGCATATCCTTCATCATACAAGGTTCGACCTTGATTTGTCTATGATTGTATGAAGTCCTTCCATCCCTTCTATATTGATTTAATTAAAGATGGTGGTCATTCTCCTAGCAATAATTCCACGGCTGACCCTTTAAAATTATTTTTGAGTGTTTGAGACAGATAAATACTTGTTTTTCTTTTCGCTTGTTATAGAGATGCATCATTTTAAAGTAGGTCTCTTAAAAAAGCTCGATTATCACTTAAGTTATTGACTTATTGTAATAAAATTGTTGGATTATTGTGACATTATCTTAAGATAATGAAAAGATTAAAGATTCAAACGGCATCACTTATAATATAAATAACAAATTGGTTGTCGTGATTAGAAAAATAATGATGGAACTTGTGAAACAATTAGCATATGCACAGGAACACATCCATGAAGTGTTATTTCTAAGATCAATTAACTTGACCATATCTATGCACAATACTTTAATGGATAGATGATGAGACTTGAAAACACCAAGTCTTTTCTCACAATGCTGCATGGAAATTTCCCATAAATAATTTTGAAATTTTTTTAGGATATTTCTAATCTCATCATCACAATTTCTTTGTTTTTGTAAAAAATCCCGTCAAATCTCTCTAAGTTTGCTCTAAATAACAATAACAATAACAACAATCGAGAATGGGTATTCGTGATATATTTAAAATCTAATCACGATTTATCATGCTGGCCACGATCAACCTAAGGGAATACGGCTAAAATATACCATTAAAAAAAAAAAAGGCTACCCATTGAGTATCATTAGCTTAATTGAATTTGGCATGGTTAAGCTACTCATAAGGGGGCTATATGATCAGATCAGTTGGTCCCAAAATTCAAGCCAAGACAAACTAAACATGTTACAAAACATAACATGTGAAGTGGGGAATCTACTTTTTCCTCTTGTTTTCCTTTTGTTCCTTGCAGTTCCAACAGATAGGTATGAAAGAAACCATAGCCTAGTTTGCCTTGTGCCTTTACAATAATGGAGATTTTAGGTACCTACAACATCATTTGGTTGGATCCAGTTAGTTTGGTCTTACTATATTATATAATACACATGCCCATGCCTGGAATGACTAATCATGACCTACTTATTTTAGTGACAATCATCAATTAAAAATAAATTAAAAGCTTTTTCATTCCTTTACTATATCATATGACAGATGATGGTAAGGAATAAGTTACATTAGGCCAAAATCATGATAACGGATTATATAGTTTGAAGGTATTTACTGCTAATACTCGAATAACAACACGGATTTTTCCTTTTTTTTTTGGTAGGGAAGCTAAGGGCTATTAATTAGATCGAGCATCAATAAGCTCAGGCTCCGCTCGAATTGAAAATCAAAAGCTTGAGGTTGGTTATATTCGATTTTGTAGTCTGAGCATGATTGGGAGCCCATAAACGCTTGAATGCTACCAATCTGGTATTGAACACGGCTTAGTTAAACCTAAGAAAAAGAGTTAAACCTAAGAAAAAGACAGTAACATGTACCTAAAATCACAATTGAAGACGCTAGTTGGTGGAAGAGCACACAAATCTAATGGCTAAAAGTTCATTTTAGAATGTTTTTGATGCGAGTTTTCATGGGTGTACTTTGATATGAGGTTTCAATTTTTTATTTATTTGTGGAAGGCCATGATAGGGATTTCAACAGTTTAATATCCACCTAATGACCTCACAGATAAGCCACATGCATAGCACGACAACTTATGTTGTCCTACTCGCCCTTTCAATTCAGAACAATGACATAAGAGTCCATTATCCTTCTACTCAACGTCCCGGTCATTTTACAAGCACGTCAATCAATTCTCTTCTCCGATTTGATCAAATGTAAGTTATTTACATTGAAATTAAAATATTTATGAACAATTAATCTCTCATTACTTGATTTAAAGAAATTGTCAAAATTCAAACTTAATATGTTTGAATTTATAAATTATCTATATTACCACTTCAGTTACTCCATAGAGTTACGAAGAATCTTATATTCAACAGTTGTTTTACTAAATTTCAATACGTTTTCTTCACACCTTTTTCTAACAAAAAATTGTCTTGATTATAAGTTATTTTTAACTTTTTAATTATTTTAATGCAAACCTCGGATGAATAACTAGAGAATTTAAACTCAAGGATATGCGAATTTACGCGTCACCGTTGTCCAACTACTGTACAAACCTATATAAGTTCAATATAAGTTCAAGTCGTCTATATAATAAAGTACAATACAATTCAAATTTTAAAAAATAAATAAAATGACTTTTGTTTTTTGCGGATGAAATCTCTTTAAATTTTATTTTGCAGTTAATTCGAAGGTTAATATTAACACCATAAATTTAATGGAGAAAATAAATCCCTTTTTTTTTTTGTGCAGAAGGGAGGGAGAATGGAGGGGACTTGAACTCTTGACCTCAAGAAAGCAAAACCTTCACAAGGTAAGAAAATAGGTCCCTAAGAATGTGTTTAGGATAACTTTTTAAATTACTTATAAAACTTACAACTTTTCATAAGTATTTTTAAAAAACATATTATTTGGAACTGCCTCACTACACCCACCACCTATGTCACCCTACCACAACAACTATCCCCACCACCACACCACAACCATCACCATTACCATTACCACCACCGCTATCGCCCCACCACTACTGTCATTACCGCTATAACCACCCTTACCGTCTCACCACCTCTACCACAACAACCATC